TAATAAAAATTATTAATTTCAACTTAAGTTGAGAAATGGTTTTGAATTCTCCATCAAAAGATCGCATCGGAGTTTTCCTTTTTATGATATGCTTTATACTCTTGAGATCTGAATACTTTACCGAAGTATGGATGCATTTACCGAAGTATGGATGCATTTAAGCTTTTTTGCAAGATCTCTATGAGGCTGGCCATTATGGAGAAAATGATAGATTTTGTTTTATATTTATCTTTAAATCCTTTCGTTTTTCTACTTCTAGCTTCTTTTCGCATAGATTTAGTCTGTTCATAATCACCCCAAATTAAATTGAAATAAAAATCAAGAAACATAAGTCGTTTATATAACATAAGCTTAGCAGCGTAGCGCAGTGGTAGCACACTTGCCTCAGGAACGTAAGATCCGTGGTTCAAACCCCACCTCTGGGTAAGTTTTGCGACATCGATTAGGAAGGAGGGGTGAACTTTCAATTAAATGCTCATCAGCAGTGCTCTGTGATAAGACCGTAAGGACGTTTTGGGGCACCCAAATAAAATTTAAAAATTAAAAAAAAACATCAATTTTGAAATGTCAACTTGCGACAAACAATTTAAAAAAAAAACGTCCTAAAAAGTTTATTCGATTTAATACTTGTTTACTCATTTTAATCAGATCACATTACAAAGCTCTTAAATTTAAGGTCTAAGTTTACTATCGGAGTACCCCAAAAATGTTAATAGTTATGGTAAATTGGGGCATCTGGACACTTCATTTTCATATTTAGAAAAATCTGGGAGGTATCACATTTTTAGAAAATTGACATTAAAAATCTGCTAAAAAGTTTTTTTTTTCGTATTTAAAAAAACTAAATAAACTGACAGAAAGTTTAAGTTTGTTTAAAAATTTATTTATATACCAACTTTTCAAGGTCTCTTTTTAATCTAATATTTATACATAAGTATCATTAGAATACTCAAAGTTGGTCAAAAAAACATTTTGTAATAAAAATATTGATTTTGAATATGCCTTTTTATTTTTATTTTATTATATATACCTATACCTATATTATAATATAGATACCCATATATTATTATTCATACCTAATATATTAAATCTATGGCTTCTCCGCTCTCAAAGAAGAGTAAAGAATATAACTTTAAAAAAGATCATGAACAATATCAAAATATCATCTGCTGTTGCTGCCTTGAAAAGAACAACAAATGCATTCCAGTTAATAAAAATGTGGAAGGTCTGGTTCAAGTTTTCTGTAAGCCAGAGTTTCCACTAAAAGTATTTGCCTACGTTACATGATTATGCCCAGGTTGTAAGAAAAACTTTTATCTCTGTAAGGCTGGTAAAACTGTTGCAAACTTCTAGAGATTGCTCGATATTATGCAGTATATGCAGTCAAGGAAGAAATAGATTATTAAATAAAAGTTTGAAAAGGGGAACTAGCTCAACACTAAAACTTTGCCAAATATGCTTTTGTGAAATTGCTAATGGTAAACCCCACAAATGTTCACCTTTTATTAGGCTAGCACAAATCTTTCTGAGAGTATTTCTAAAATTACCAAACAAAAGAAAGGAACTTGTAGTTTCTTCTTTGTAACTGGTAGTTTCCTTTCTTAAAGAAATTTATTCTGATCAAGAGCAAATTCTAGGAGCTTAAACCATTCTCAGAACAGGTAAAATATTTTAAAATAAAAATAGCTAAGATACATATTCTTAAAATAACAGTTTATCTTATGATAAACTATTATTCTTAAAATAAATAGTTATCTTTACATTACACTTGGCACTCCAGAAAGTGATCAGAGAAAGATTCCTAGAAGCTTTGATAAATACCTTAGGACTTTGTCAGTTTAAATCTAATGAAGTGTTAAAAATTTTGAAGAAAAGTGATGTAAAGTTTGAGTCAAACATGGAGAAAACCCTGGATGAAAAAAGTAAACTACTTTCGAACTGTTATGTTGCTGAATTATTAGACTTTCAAGAAAAGGAAAAGATAACGACTATGCTACTGTGAAGAGAGATTTTGCATATATTAAAGGTATTACAAGATTTTTTGATTTTGTAATGAAATATCGAGGGCAGGTTCCACAAAACACATTTATAAAGTTTGGGATTGATTCAGGTATTTAGATTTACATTTTAACAATCAACTTTTTAAAAACATGTTTTTGAAAACGTGATTTTTACATATTTATATACAAATATGTATGTGTGTTTGTATATAAATGTATATTTATAATATTATTAATTTTGGTATGTTCGTTTTAAATAATTTTAAGATAATAAGACGTATGACGTAAACACATATATTAGGAAAAGATTTTTTTTTACCCAACAATATATTTATAAACTGAACTATAATATAAAATTGTAGGCTCATGGAGGAAAGTATGCCTGTGCATAGTGCGAAGGTTCTTCTGAACTATTTTCTGGAGAGTTAAAAACATTTCAATCTTTGAATGATTACTATGAACCGTATTCGTCTGCAGCATTCCCGGTAAAAAAAAAAAAAAAAGAAGGATATTGAAAATAAAGTATTTTTTTTCAAACATTTTTACAAATTTATCATTTTTAAAAAATAAATTTGTAAAAATGTTTTCCAAAAATGAAAATTATTTGGGCAGTTTAACGAGCAGATCTGAATTTTTCCATTCTTAGATGAAAAGTGTAATTAACAGGTTTGGAGTTTTGCAGTACAGCAACAAACATAAGGAAAGAAGCAAAAGAATTGCTGAAGTATTCAAGTCAAATAATTTACAAGTTATTAAACGTACATCAATTGTACATCAAAACACAAACTTTATTGAAATTTTAAGTTAAAAACATATATAAATTCATTCAAAAAGACAATAAAAATACATTAGTATGAATGATTTTAAAATATTTTATTTAGTATCTATTATATTATTATTGTTAATATATTAGGTTATTAGGCAACTATGCATACAATACTATTCTACTAAATTACTTTTTTATTATTAATATGTTCTACTTTACTAAGCATACTATGTTCACACTATGTTCCTAAATTAATGTTCTACTTTACTAAGCATACTATGTTCACACTATGTTCCTAAATTAATTTCAAGCGTATTTAAACTTTTTTCGCCGACTTAAAGCAGTCTAATGATGTTGATTATAAGCACAAAAATTAAATAACATAAAAAGTTATTTTATACTAACTTTACTATTCTGTCAGTATATTTAGTTTTTTTAAATACGAAAAAAATGACTTTTTAGCAGATTTTTAATGTCAATTTTCTAAAAATGTGATACCTCCCAGATTTTTCTAAATACGAAAATGAAGTGTTCAGATGCCCCAGTTACTATATTTATTAACATTTTTGGGGAACTCTGAGAGTAAACTTATCTTTACGTGAAATTTTAATTAAAAAAATTAGTTTTTAAATAATTCAGAATATAAATTCTACATACAAAATAAACAGAGATAATTAAGTGATACTAAAAAAGGGGTTCAAATTATAAACGAATTCTTTAATATATGGGGGCACTTAAATTTTATTGGACGCTTAAACTTGTTTTTTATACTTTTTGTCTATTTTAAATTATTTTATTGTTAAATTAGATTTATAATTAGAGTAAAATTTAAACACTTTAATTAGGAGAATGGAGAAAATGTTAAGTTATAAAAGCTTTTTTCGTAGAAATACGTAACCTTTTATGGAACTTTTTATATATTATTATATAGTTATATACAAAGGATATTTCTACTAAATTGTATAAACTTGATGGATAAAACAAACATTATTATTATTTTCATTATTATATTTATTAACTGATCTGACCCGTAAAAATACGGGTCTTTGTGAGCCTATTCTACACTAACCTTTTCTATACTTTTTCCTTATATACATATCATAGCTTTCCGGACCCATAATATACAGGTATTTACTAAACCTACCGTCTCTATACTTATCTTTTCTACACCAAATATTTCTATACCTATTATTTGTTTGTTTCAATATTTTTACGTAAAAAAATTCATTTTAAAAAATTGCTTTAATAGCAAAAAAATTACCATGCACACCTTTTCCACATACCTAGAGCTTTTAAGAGATTTATAATTAGATCCTAAACGCATATCAATGATAACTGAGTGGTTTAGCGCGCTGTCATCAGTGCTGTTTTAGGGGGATTAAAGACCTAATAAATTTTAAATAATATTCAATCTTGCTGTAATTATTGCAATATTTATAGCAAAATTTTTATTATAGTAGCCGAGAGTTGCCTTAAGTGGAACACTTAGGGATTATATTTATTAATCAAAGATGGCTTAACTATGAAAACATTTATGATTTGATTAATACAAACAGACAAACCTATTATTCTTTTAATCATAGTTTGACTTAATTAATTGCACTGTTATTGGAAATAAATTTGTTTTTGCAAAGATACTATTTTGTTCCAATCAACGTAACTGGTTCCCTAAACTGGAACACTGATTGCTTAATTAGAACATATCTACCTACATATTCTAGGCAGTTTACTCTCAGAAAAATTCTAGCTATGAACCCCCGGCAGGATTTGCATGTTTTTAAACTACTTAACATTATATAATATTTAATGAAGTTGTGCAAAGTTTAAATTACATTGTTTTAACTTTTATTTTACCTTACAAAAAAAAAAAAGTACCTATTTCAGTTATAATTTTTACAGTGTATTTTAGTCATAAATAAAATATTTACAATTTACCCTTTAACATGTTTATAATATGTTAAAATATACTGGGAAATTAAATTACTAGAACCTTTTGTTTTAAATTTTGCAGATCATTGCAGCCAATCTTACTGAAATATGGGAGCAAATATTGTTTTTCAAAATAACAAGTCATGCAAGTCTTTATAAACTGAGACTTTTTTTTATTTTTTTTCATCTTGATATTTAATATTTGGTTTTTATTTGTAATGCTAAAACATAAGTTACATATTATATGTTTAAATATAATATTTAACTTATAATATGTAAATTTGTTTATATGCTTTTCTTTTTTATCGGTATATAGTTTTCATTACTTTGTTATGTAGCAAGATAGTATATATTTGTAACATCTTTTTCATCTTTTGCAGGGCTGGCGTAATCGTAAACATTGCAAAACTGTATTTCTTCGTAATATGTATTTTTTTTATCTTCTTTTTTAATCGAAACATATTGTTTTTGGAATTTGATATCCGAATACTGACTTGTTGCTTCTACTGTATTTAAACAACTGGAGGTTGGTGCTTGATAAACTGGTTCATTTACGTTTTGTTGGGCCAAGAGATTTCTAAAAGTTATCTTATCAGAAATATATTTTGCTTTTTTTGAAAAAAAAGACTTTATAATTTTCTTCTTATAGCAAAAAATAACTATTGTCAAAATCAAACTAGCAGCAATAGTCAAGAGACCTCCAATAAGAGCGAAATTTTTCGATTTAACTACCACATCTGATCTTTCTTGTAAACCTATAACAAAATCGATTTTTATTTTATCAGTTTTCTTACATTAAATACATTTGTATTTAAATAAATATTTAAATATTTTTATTTATTCTTTTTTTTTTTCTTTTTTAATTATTTGTATGACTAATTACTTTATTATAATTTACTACTTCATTTTTAAGTGTTTTAAAGTCTTTTAACATAAACATACCCCCAGTGTTGCCCGTTTATAAACTATAGGGGTGGCAAGGTGAAGACCTCTCTGTTACATACGCGCCTCTACCACTATCACAATTGTAAGTAGAATCATTGGATTTTATTTGTGTTGTTGGAATGGATGGACATGTTAATTACAACTAATGGGCTGCATTACTTGTAATAACTTTATTTGGTCTTTCAATCGTTTATATTATATTGGCTATTTTGTGTTTATCTTAATAATGTGTTTTATGAATTTCTTCATAAAATACATTATTAAGATATTTTATTCGTTCGTTTTATAAATTTTTTTATAAATTTTAAAGATTGTTTGATAGGTTTTATAATTTTCTGTAAAAATTCCAAAATTTAAAAAGATTTGTTATAAACTTATTTAGTGGAATCCAGTGAAATCTCGTAGTTGAATCCAGTGAAATTTCGTAGCTCATTGATAACAATAAATACTACAATCATAGTAATAACAATAGTCATTATAAAAATCATAGCAATAACAATAGTCATTATAAAAAGCTAAAAAGAAATACAAAATACTAAGTTGTACTAAATAAAGTTATAACAGTAACATAATAAAATATAACAACCCAGTAAGCACAGTACGTTTTTAAAACGTTAACAAAACTTAAAAAAACGAATATTAACGTTTTTTAAACGTTTTAAAAACGATCTGTGCTTATAACATTAATATAATAACATATAACATAATAACATATGTTATTATGTTATATGTTATTATATTAATGTTATAAGGCATAACATTAATATAATAACATATAACAATAACAATAATATAATAACATATAACAATAACAATAATATAATAACATAAAACAATGACAATAACGTGTAATAATAATAATGATGACGACAATTGTATATTGAATATTGACAATTGTATATTGTTATTTCATTTTACAAACAAATAAGTTGATACTTTTAGTTGATTAGAAGTTTGATTCAGGATTTGATTTATTATTTTCAAAGTTAGTTTAGTCAATTAAAATAATTATAAGATAAAAACATTTCTCATGCATTATAATTTTTTACTTAAATTTTAAGACGTTTCGCTTATGTCTTTAAAAATTGAAAAATAGTTAACATCTTATCATCACTAGATTTTGTTAGAAATCTTTAAAGTACTTAAAAATAAAGCAGTTTGTCCGTTAACATGATTTTTTTAAATATATCTTTATAGAGTAGGAAGTTACTCAAAATAAGGAAATAAAAAATTTAATTAGTTAATTAAATGACATTATTTACCGTACAGTAACAAACCGGTACCTGACAAAACAATAATGACCAAAAAGATAAGGGTTTTTTGAAAAACATTTAATTACATTTAAAAAAACGTGTTTAAAATTGTGTTTTAACAAAATATTGTTTATAAAAACACAGTTTAACTAATTCGTTGCTATCTAGTTGATTAAGAGAAGACACTGATAATTGCTCATTTACCAAATTATTATCAAACATAAAAGTATAAAGTTAATGAAATTTAAACTAAAGTAATTATAAAACATACCTTTAAACTTTATGGTATAATTTGTAAAACTTGAGTTCACGAGTGTAAACGGGAAAGAAGGTTCAGTTTCAAAAGCACATGGCTCAATACAATGAATTACAGTCCTAAAGTTATGAATTATGCGTATTTTTTTTATCCAACAATTAAATATTTCACCGTCAACTGCATTGAAAATAAGAACTGATCCTTTAGATATTTGAAGATTATTTGTTACGTACGAAGTCAAATTAATTTTCTTTATTGTATTTTCACTATTAGAAAGATTTATTGTGTAGTTATTTACAATAATTTTATGATTTTTTATTTCCAAAACTACTAAGAGGACATCGTTTATGTCTTTTAGCTCAAATAAAACATCGTTGACTCTGATAGATGCCTTCCATTTATCATCAGAGCAGGACAATTTTTGCATTAATGGGCGAGAACGTTCAGCGTTTAAAAATACTAAAAAATAAATATACAACATTAGCAATAATTGGAATGTACATTATTAAGTTTAAGAAATGTAATCAAATCCAAAAAAATATATGTTTAATAGTTTGAATAAATAACCATAAAAAATTAAATAAATTTTATTTTAAACTAGTTTAAATGAAGTATATTTATTGGTGCTTACACACCGATAAAGATTCCATCAAATAAAATATGTGGTGTATAAGAGAAAACTGAGCACTAAAATCTCGCTTAATTAAGAATAGGGCTGCTATAAATACTGCCCAATTAAAAAAGGAAGTAAACTGCAGGGCCGGTGTCGTCAGCCTTGAACTGCCAGAGATTTTAAAAAGATATTGCCTGTGATTCTGCTTCTGAGTGAAGGTTTGCCATTATGAGAAAATTCAAATTTTGTTGGCAATTTGAGAAATACCAAATTCCCAGCAGTATTAGAACTCATAGCCCAATACGAATCGATATTGAATAATCGAAGGTAAAACAATTACAAAAGGAGAAGAAAGGATTTTAAGCCCATTACCTTTTAGCAGACATACAAAGCAGGTTTATTTTGTGTTGCGTATAAAAATTTGGCCAGACGATTGTTAACGAGATTACTCAGGCATAATACTTTTCAGTTACTGCTTGTTCAAGACCTGAAGTTGATGAAGTAAAAACTGTTCTTCGCTATGTAACACCTTTTGTGGAATATGAAAAAACAGTTCATAAAATTAATGAGATTTTTAATGTTTGTTATTTATAAAAAAAACACAAAACTTTGACTTCATATTGTAGCCATAGTGTGAACTAAACAAAAACAATAAATTTAGTCAGAATAAGCCTAAAATTTTAATTGTAGATGTGTGTACAGATTTAAAAAATAAAAGCATATTTTTTATCAAAAACAAAATTAAAACAAAAGAGATTAACAAAAAACAAACAAGTAGCTTAATAGCTTGAATAACGTTAAATAATATCTGATTTAGGTTTGTCCATAAATTACCCTACTCTTAATTTATTTTTAAAAATGTTGGAGTTGATTTTTTGCGCGGCTTTCATACCATTGCTCAGCTGCTTAAAAGCTCTGCGAAGGAAAGGTTGTGGCGTTTATAAATTAAATTTGGCGTTGCATGATTTATGATCGAATTTTTAGACGTTTAGTTTTTAAAAATTTCAGGAAAAGGAATACCACCTATCATGACGAGGGGGGTCCATAGACCTCTAAACTGTACCAATATTGTTTACTGGCTCCAATATAGTTTCTTTTTACTTTTACGCAATCTCTTTTTTTTTTGCTACCAGTTGTTTAAGAACTTCTGTATTTTAATTTTTTAAATTAAAAATTTATTCTTTATAACAACTACATTTAGTCAAAACTTAAACGTAAAAAAACTCAGATACAAAAACGAATTAAAATCTGTATATTTGTATAAAATGCTGTAAAAATTTGTATAAAATTGGCAGTTAAATTAAATTTTTCTTTTCATGCCAAAAGTATACACTTTTTGCCAAAAGAAGACGAAAAAGGGCAAACCTAAATAAACAAAAGCTGCCTTTGCTTTTTAATTTCTTTGTCTTGAACTTAATAGTGTTAACTCATAAATATTCGCTCACGCAAAATTAATTAAAAATAGATAAATATCAAACTTAATTTTTTTTGTTTGTTTTTGCGTTAAATATAAAGTATATATTTTGTATAATATAATTTAAATTGTCTTACCACATTTAGTTAGTTTAATTGTCTTTTTTTTTTTGAGGAAAGTTATTCAAATTTCACAAAACATACAAATTTTAACAAAACAAATGTAATAATTTTTACCTGAAGTTTCAAGTTGCGTCTGAACTTCATAAAACAGGAAAATAACTTCAATTGCTAAGATAAAATTACTTCTCAATAGTAAAATCATTTTGTATCGCTAATATTTATCTGTTATTATTTTTGGCTGTAAACATAACTTCAAAAATCTTTTTATACCTTTTATGAGATTAATTTACAGACGTCATATCCTTTTTGTTAAAGCAGAAAAAAAATTTTGTTTCTTTTTAAAAATGACGTGAATTTTTTGTTTTTAAAACTTAGGAAATATTGCGAATAAAAGAAATGAAAATATTCTCAGAGCTTGAAATAGCAAATTTAAAATACATTTAATTTTATTAAGCTTAATACTTAACAATTTTTTCATCTGATCACTTTTTTATTTGAAGCGCTAAAAGTTAGATTCAAAGATCACTGTGGTAAACTATGACAAATTTCTTTATAAAGTTTGTAGGCTTAGCTTTTTTGAAGAACTTTTTCTCATAAGTAAATGCTGTTTTTTGAAATTTGTGAAAAATAATTGTCTTTTATTTTAATTTACATATACTAAAATTGTCGCAAATTTTTTTAAAGATAAAACTTGACAATAGTCAAATTTGAGACTGGAGTGCCATAAATGTTGTTCATTTGTATATAAATAGGGTTCTTTGCGCGCGCTACTATTTGTTATTTATATGAAAGAAAGTGAAAAATAATCATTTAAAATAATATAAAAAAAACGCTTTAAAGCTTATTAAAATAATTTACAATAAAGAGGCTTGTTTCTACTGTTTTAATTAGTATAATAATTAAATATACTAAATTAATCTGTGTTTCAATAAAATTTATTTTATCAAGTCTTTTTAAATCCTATTAAATCATTGTCAATAGAATACAACTAGCCAATAGAATACAACTAGTCAATAGAATACAACTGGCCAATAGAATACAACTAGTTGCTATTGGCTATGATTAAATGACTGTTTATTAACTTGGTTTTACATTTTGCAGCAAATTCGATTTTAAATTTTGGTCGATATGAGGCGTATTTAAAATACTACATCTTCTTTGTTAAAACTTGTTTGTTTTCAGTTTGGATGATATTAGCCTTAAATGAGACTATAATTTATAAGTTTAATATACACATATGCAACCAGAAACTTACTATCGCCGAAACTGGCGTTATAAAATGACTTTTTTATTGAATCAAAAGTGCTATTTACACGTATTGCAACATATAGTAAAACATAATAAAGAAAAACATAATCTTTGTAATGTAACCTAATGCACGTTACATTTTATAAGAAAGGCTTGGCGCTAAAAGTACGTAAGTCATAAAAACGGTTTTAAAAAAAAAATTTTTACCAGTTATTATAAATGCTTATTACTAGGCACTTCAACATCTCAGCGCGTTATATCGATAATCGATAGAACACGGCTAAAGAAAAAAGATCTTAGGTTTTATGCCGACAAAATAGTTTGAGGTGAATGTTCTTCGTTCATCGTGAATCGTTGAACCGATGACTTAAAATACAATAACTTTTTATTTGCTTATTGTAAAAAGTAGAACACACAGAACCCAGCTTAAGGGGGCACAACCCTATTAAAAAAGTGTAAATTACTGAAAAAATTAATTTTTCAAAAATACACTTATTTTAACTCAAATTTATCGTAGAAACTATTGCTGATTTTTAAATTTTTTCTATTCATGCTGATATTGGTCAAAATTTCATTTATTTAGATGTTCATTATTTAAATTACCCTAGCAACGCGCATAGCAACCGTTTTTAAATGTTGTTTTTTATCTTTTTAAGCCCTTTTTTCAAAGTTGATCTTGGCTTTTTGTTTGTACAAATGGCTTTTTGTTTGTACAACGACGTAATAAGCATAATGGAGTTATTTAACTAATTAAACTACTGATTTGACAGACTGGTCTTGTTAGAATGTTTGTTTATGTTTTACAAAATTGGTTTTTATTTATTTTTTTATTTTTCAGTATTATAACAAGGTAGTATGCTTTATAAGATAATTTCTATGCTGTTTTGCTAAGTATTTTTATCTATCTATGCTATTTATAAGCTTTCTATCTATTGCTTTGTATATTTATGTAACTAGTATAACTAAAAAGTTGAAAAATATTTACAAATTGAAATGGAATCATCTTGTAAGTTTCGATCTAAAAGACATAAAAGTAGGAAGTTTTATGGCAACAAACTCTCTAACAATTTTACTGAAAACTCTAAAGTTACAAATAAAGAAAACATAGCAACAACAGTTTCTTATACAAAGTTAAATGGTTCAATGGTTAAAGTTGTTGATAACTGCTGTTCAAAAAACATTACAGGCAACCGAATAGTTGATATGGAATTGTTAGCTGAAACTTTTAAGATTCTTTTGTGCCCAGAGTGTTCACATAATTCAGTAAAGCTTAATCAAAAGCAGAAATTAGGAATTGCTTTCGAGTCTTTCAATGCAACAATATGGAATCGTGTTCCAAAAGATGCATTTGTAAAACTAGTACAGTTGGAAATTGCTGCTTATGATGCAGTTGCTCATTTTAATATTGGAAATTTAGCAACATTAAAAATATATGATAAAATGCAGATGAAGTGAGGCAGCTACACTGAGCTTAGTTGCAAAGAAAGAAATCGTTCACGATTAAAAAATGCAAGTCGAAAAAATGGTGAGAAGTATAGGATGCGTCGCAAGTTTATGCGTGGAGCTAAAAAGAGTAAGAGAAGTGAAAATAAAAATAATGAGGGTTTGTCATATGGAGCAGGAAGTTTTAAATGTTTATATCAAATTAGTTTTATCATACCTGTTTATATGAACATGGCATTTAACAGGAAAAAGTAAAAATTTTTTACCATTTTAGCTTTTTATTCATTCGCAAGTAGAAAAGGGTTATTAAATCTGACTTTTGATAAATAAAGTACATCTATTGTTTGAATATAGTCTACAGTGCAATACTTAATAGATAAAAAGGCTCCAGATAAATATAATTATTATTAACAATAGAGTTAACATAATTTTTTTTTTTAAACCTTTTTTTCTAAGATTTCCACATTTTCTTAACTTTGCCTGACTGTGGCAAAGATATTTCAAAAACGGTTTGATTAAAACTTCTCATATTTTGACAGATTGTTTATTATGTACAAGGTTGTGCAATAAACCTCAAAATTATAAGAATATATGTGTTAAAAATAAAATATAACGATTTTTCGGTCATTATGGGGGATAAAAATATCATTTTTTTTGTATCCTTTAAACAAATAAAGCACGACCCCAAGGAATAAGTAAGCTGTTAAGTTTTTGAGGTTCATTGCATACCTCTAACATCAAGCTAGTTAAATGCCAAATTTTATTCTATGTGACCTTCTGCATTTTGAAATATTTTTGCCACAAAATGGTCAATTTTTAAGTTTTTGCCCCCTAAAAATTGCCCCACAGGGCAACCCCTTCTTTTTTTTTAATTTTTTTTTTTTTTTTAATCTTAGTTTTATTATGAATTTACTTAATAAATAAAAAAAATTATTTAAATATCAAAATTAAAGATTTTTTTATTTATGGGGTTGTGCCCCCTTAACAACAGTACCAAAAATATTTTTTTGAGATTTTTATTTTTAGAGATAATTTTATTTAGAAATTAAGGTCATTATATAACCCAAATATTTTTGAAAGTAACTAGTTTTTTTGATTTAATAACATAAAAAAACCAATTATAGCATTATATTAAGGCGAGTTTCCACTCATCCGTTTTTCTACGGGAACAGGATAGGAAAGGAAAAAATAATTACGCGAGCATGCGTAATAAAAGATTTTCTTTGTCCGAAAGAAAACTGCGCATGCTCACGTCATTATTTTTCCGTTCCCTTTCCCTTTCCCGTAGAAAAACGGATGAGTGGAAACTCACCTTTAACCTAATGGTGTGCATATTTTTGAATGGTAAGCGTTGATCACACAAAAAATATGCCTTCCACCAAAAAGTTGACTTTAAAAAAAAATATTTTTAACTACATATTATAAGTTTATACTTACATGTTATAAGTTTATAATTACATATTATACATATTAAAATGCGGTAGTGGTGTAGTGGTAGAGCGCTCGCTTCATATTCATTCGAGTGGCTCCGATTTCAATTCCCAACACGTCCCTGGTAGTACTGCGCTCAACTTGTTTCTCCGCGCAGCGACCATGTTCGTCAAGGTTCGTGTTTCAGTGTTATAGAATGGATAGAGGGTTGATAACCACAATTAACTAGTCCTCTGTAGTGGCTTTCTCGGCCTTGAGGAGGTGAGTTAATAAAAAATAATTATTATAAATATAATATAAAACAATATAAAAAAATAAAAAAAATAAAAAGTTACTTTTGTAAAAGAACGGAAACGTTGATGCGATTCATAAAAACGTAAATCGCTAAAAACCTCAAAAGCCATACAAAAGAAAAATCTTAAATTTTGTGGTTTAAAAGTTGCATAAGTATTCGACTAATGATAATATAAAGATAAGTTTTTTACTTTTTAAATTTTAATATTTAGCTATAATTTATGGGGGTGAGGCGGTGAAGCGTACGCTTTTTTAAACCTTGACTATTGTCAGGTTTTAAAAACTTTTGAAAAAAGCGTACGCCTCACCGCTACGTTTTTTTAAACCTTATTATATATCCTGACTGAAGAAAATAAGTTTTAACTAATGTAAGTTTATTTAGGACTTAAGTATTTGTAGCGCAAAGGACCTAAGTATTGAAGTTATATAAAACAACGTAAGGTGCGCTAATATAGTATTGATTATATACGTAAATATTTTTAATAACTCATGTTTAAAAATTATTTCTCATGCTTTATTGTGTTTTATTTTTTAAAATAACTAAACGTCCTAATCTGAGATTGTGACAAAAAAACTTAAATGCTTCCAACAATGTTTATTTGCAATACATTTGGTTTCGATTGTAAATTTAGAAAAATGACGCTTTTATAATGTGTAACTATTTTTTTACTGATTCTTTACTTTATTTATTTTTTGATATTAGTTTTGAAGTTAGTAGTTTTTATGTGTAATACACGTCTAGAATAAAGGTACTCGATGACAAGACTGACGCTAATCTTCTGCGAGCTTCCTTTAACTACAACGAAGTAATTCTTTTTATCAATTTTATACAAATTTTGTTTTTATCATATTTATACACAAATATCATTTTGAAATAAGGTAAATAAATATATAATTAAACATCTTATCACACCTCCAAAAATTGTTTATAGATTTATTTTTTTTTAATTGGAAGAATATAGAGATATATTTTTCGGATTATTTTTTACGTTCACATTATTTTATTTTGTATTGCGTCTATGCAACTATATCTTTATTTACTTCATATAATTTGGAATTGGTGTTTATAATATTTATATTTTTTGTATCTTTACCGCCATAATGTGATTGGTTATTGTAAATACTTTGTAATAGTAAGATAAACATGGGTAAAAAACATTTTGAAATAAAAAGGGTTTAAAAAAAACAAAAAACTTTAAATTACAATAAATAAAATGTAAAACTTTCTGTCAATTTTGTTTAATTTGGACAAAACTATTTCGGTTACAGTGTATGTTTAACAATATAGTAGTGCCCCGAACATGCTATAGTCGCAATTGTCCCATTTTATTGTTTTTTACGCAAAACTGAGCAACGAAGAATAAAAGGTTATTTTATAATCTTTCCTTTTACTTAACCAGAGCTTTTCATCAAGTTTCTTGTCCCCAAAGTTGATTTTTTTTTTGTTACGTCATCAATATATTCGCGTAGAGCTGTGTATATAGTAGTGCTATTATTTCGAGGCGCGGCTCACAGTGCTGCGGGTTCAAATCTTCGTCGAGGAAACTTCTTTTTAAACTCTGATATTTCATTTTTGATTAGTATGTTTGTTAACTACTATTGTTGTTTATTTATACACTTTTTCACTTAATTGAACTTTTCATCAATTTTCTTGTCGTCAAATTTTATCTTTTAATAGCGCTAACAGAATGTCACTATTTTCACGAAAGCATCATTTAGCCTAGTGCTGAGAATGTTATACTGGGTTTCGCCTTCATTTAAAACAAATATGACATTCATAGAGTTGCGTCTCCAAAAAAACCGACAGTTATTTTTTTTTTTTAAATACGCCTTTTTTTTGCAAAAAAATAAACAAAGCATTCCTAAAAACATGTTTTTTATGGGTTTTTTTTTTTTTTTTAGTATTATTTAAATTTTAGCTGTTAATGAATCTTGAAACAGTTTCATTTCAAGTAAATTTTAAAATATACATGTGTTTTGTTTAATATAATGTGTACTACCCTATATATTAGCTCTAACCATTTACTCATCAATGTTAAAAAAAACTCAGCAAAATACTCGAAAAATTTTGTTTTGTAAAGTTACTTTTTTGTAATACTACTGTATTAAATTTTAAACATAGTTAAGGTATGTTTATTAGTTGTTTCAATAAAATAAGGGGAACAAGTCTGATAATTTATGACAACTGTTGACAAGGGGAAGAAGGGAAGTCGAGAAAAGTTTAAGCCAACAATATTACTTTATAAAATAAATTAAATTATTAAAAAAAAAAGAATGTTTTCTTCCATTTAATTTTCTCAATAAGGTTAGAGAGGGGGGAGGGAAAGAAGAGTAGTCAAATGTTGCAGTAATTTTATAGGAGAGGGGGAAGCGAGCTCTAGAATTTTGGCAAATTGTTGACAAGGGGGAGGAGAAAGTAAAAATTTCCATAAAAATTTTGACATAAATAATGGACAGCCACGTGGTAGATTTTGAAGATTTAATTTTGTTAGTCTGTAATAGGTATTTTCAATCCTGTTCTAATGTTATTCATATAACTATTTTGTTCATATGCTTCAACACTGTCGAATACTGCTGGTTGAATTTTATCGCTTCCTTCATCAAGTACAGCAGATGAAAAATCAACTAGTAGACAATCTTTAATCCACAAGTAAAAACAAAATAGATTTTGATTTTAAATACAGGTCCGAATTTAGACAAAAACAGGGTGTTCCATGTTACAGGGGTCTCCACAAAACTAGGAGTCCCCACAAAACTAGAGGTCCAAAAACTAAAGATAAAAAAATTTGTGTTTTATGATGTATCTTGGCGCAGATACACCAAAACATTTGCTGCAATTTTCACTATGAGTAGTTTGGCAATCCAACTGCATTAGATGTCATATGTAACACTTGAATAAAACCTAAGCGTTTTTGTGATTAACAATTTAAAGGTTAAAAACGAGTCTTCACAGTTGCATTATCTGGAAACCGAATGGTTGACAAGCTCAAGAAATCTTTTCGAGATCTAAGTTCAGCGTTATGGCACACACTGCATATTTCATACGTTCGCCCCCACTTAGAATTTGCAGTACAAGCCACCATTTCCTACTCAATACATAGCCGAACTTGAGCAATTTCAACACCGAGCCACAAAACATATTTCCGACTTAAAACACTTGCCTTATATTCAAAGACTATCAAGAACTAACATGGCAAAGCTAATTAAACGACAAGAAAGAGGAGACGTTATTGAGTCAACAGCAAAATCTAAAAAGTTAACTTCTCAGTTCCTCAGCTTCAACCAAACCCAAGTCTTTAAAGTGCAGTCTCTGACGGCGTTGACACACAAAACAGCTGAAGGCATAACTTGTACGAAACTGTGCAGAAAGAAACAACTTCCTCACTAATTGTGTTGTCAAACCATGGAGTGATTATATCCAAAATATGGACGCAAAGAACCTGAACAATTTTAAGTATGAACTTTTTTTGCTTAGGCGATTTAAGTTTATCTGAAATCTAAAAACTTTATTTTAATTACAAAGTGGCCTAGTGTGCAGTAGGGTGTGTCATACTTTTTTTTCTTTTCTTTATAAAACATTAAATTATATACAATTTTATAATTTTATACTATCTATGGTTCATATACAATCAAGTTTTACAGATGTTTTTTTGCATATATAATATAGTTTACAAGTGTTTATATTTATTTACATTTTATTTATATTTTTATTTATATATATTTTGTTTTTGTGCTTTTTAAATTTCATATTTTTTTGTGTTTTTTAGTTATATATTTTTTTATATTTTTTAATTTTTTTTTATTTTTAGCCGTTGTGCTGAGAGATGTCAAAAACCTGGTACGGTTTAAAAAATTTTTTTATATATTATAAGATAAAGTTCAATATTAGATTAGAGTACGGTTTAAAAAAAAATTTTATATATTATAAGATAAAGTTCAATATTAGATTAGAGTATTTTGAAAAGAAAGACTATATTAAGGAAAAAATAAATAGGTAATAAGGTAATTTACAGAACTTTTACACAAATGCCATATTACAATCTTTACGTATAACACCAATAAGTTAAAATAATATTTCATAAAATAAGGGATAGCAGTGATTTTCTAATCATAAATAACATTGTCTAATCATAAATAATATTTATGTTGTAAGAAAAACTTCTTAACTAAACATTCAGTTTAGTTAAGAAGTTTTTAGGTCTTAACTAAACATTCAGTTCTGAATTTTGAGCCAGTGTATTAAATTAGCTTATATGTTTAGTTTCAGTTTTCCATTCTCTACTTGGCAAAATACATTATTAATACAAAAAAGTTGACAGAAAATGTCCGCAGTGTTTCTACGGACATGATATTTCTATTTTAAAGTAATAATATTTCTGATGTTCCTGATTATTACCCTGATCACTGCTGATGAATCGTTTTTTATGTTACTAAACAAGTGGTGGCATCTGCTGTTCCAACAGCAGTTGTGAAATAGGGTTCTTCTCCAAAAAAGTTGCTATCCCAATCGAGAAGATCAAATTTATCGGAGAGAAATTTGTTTGGGATGTCGAGGAGTTGAATACATGTTTAAAATACTCCCCTATTTCAACAGAGAGAGGACAGTAGGAAAAAATGTGGATGTTGTCCTCGATTTTAACGCAAATTTTGCATTTGTTGTTTTTTACAATCAGTTGCCTTGTGCTTTTGGCTAGCAAGGCCTCAGAAGGTTGACTGTTGTGTAGAATTCGAAAGAGGATGTTTTTGTTAAGATTTTCAATATTTAGCGAGAATACTGTGTGGACAATATTAAAAGGCTGATCTGGTATGAGTCTTTCATATAATTTCTTATAAGCTAGCTAGACACTTCTTGCTTTTCTGCAATGTATAAATGGGTGTAAAGTGTCTTCTGTTTTGTTGCATGATTTGCAGGATATTTGACCACGTCCACGATTCTTTTTCCATTTTTTAACTTTTTCTGTTGTAGGAAGGCTGTCTTGCAGCAGTCACCAGATTGTGTTTTGGCTAGGGCCTTGAGCTTAAGAATTAAAACTTCTTTTCCATATATCATTCCAAGGTAAAGTTCTTTGTAGTTTTGTTTCCCAATTAATTTGTAATCTATTAATCAATGTATTATTATTATTATTGTTTTTCAGATAGAGGTATATGTTTTTAGTTGTTTTATGTTTTAGTAGTAGTAGATTTTCATTTTTTTTTAAAACGTTAATAATGTCATTAAGATAGAAGGGCAGATTATTAATAGTTTTTGGAAATCTATTTTTCGTCAGAAATTTCCAGGGAGCATATTTCTCGGTGGCAATTTTTGTTAAATGGATTGCTATTAAATATTGTAGCAGAAAAGTGGCTTCATGAGGTTTTTCTATTTCTTTAAGATTAAGGAGGTGTTTTGTTCTTAAAGAAATACATTGATTTGTTGGTTCCAGAATACCAAGCCCACCTTTGTCAGTCGGGAGATTTAAAATTTCCCGTTTGACAGGTTCGGCATAATCGCTTTGCCAAAGGTAGGCCGATATTCTTTTTTTGATTTTTTTTTTATTATCTTATTTATTGGAAAAACGTTTGCTACGTACCACACTTTTGCCAAAGCTAGAGTGTTTATTAGGGTTGCTTTACATTTAAGTGAGATATTTCTATATTTTAGTGTTTTTAATTTATTTTCTAATTTACACAGGGCAATTCGCCAGTTAAAGCTTGCTGTGTATCCTAAATCTGTAAAAAAGGTTACACCTAAGATTTTTAGACCTGTGCTATTTGTCCACGATATTTTGTGGTTTTGGTAGTATCCTTGTTGGACGTATTTTTCATATGCTAAATAGTTAAAGCCACCTAAAGCTAAAGCTTTAGTTTTTTCTTTATTTATATTTGATCCTGTAGCTTTTTCAAAGTTAGTGAGTATTTCAAAAAGTACGTCAATTGAGGAAGGGTTTCTTACAAAGGTCGTTGTATCATCTGCGTACTGCATAACCTTAAGAGGCTTCATAGAGCCAGGTATTGGTACGCCATCAATACCTGTATTTTTGTTTATTTCTATGGCCAGCGTTTCGACAGCGATGCAATAGAGCATAAGTGAAAAAGGGTCACCTTGTCTTACTCCTCTGCTGACTTTAAAAGGGGCACTCATGAAGCCATTATTGAGGATGATGGATTGTGTGTTTTCCATAGTTGTTTTTATTGCTTGGATAAAAGCTTTTCCTAAATTGTACTTTTGTAGCACTTTAAGTAAGTAGTCTCTATCTATCTTATCAAAGGCTTTTTCTTGGTCGATTGATATTAGAATCGCATCTAGATTTTTAGAGTTGGTATAGTGTATTAGGTCTCTGGCAAGAAAAATATTGGAGAATATATTTCTGCCGGGTACGGAGCATGTTTGGGTTGGTGTCAAGATTTTATCTAGAACTTTGGCAAGTCTCAATGCCATGGCTTTAGATATTATTTTGAGGTCGGAACACAGAAGGGAGATTGGTCTCCAGTTTTGTAAAAGGGTCTTATCTCCATCTTTAGGTATTAAGCTGATTAGTGCGGTTCTTTGACTCCATGATAGTTGACCGTTCTCATTAAAGAGATTATTATTTGCGAGGTTGGTTAGCTCATTGCCATATATATGCCAGTATTTTTGGTAAAATTCAACAGGTATGCCGTCTATGCCTGGAGTTTTTCCTTTTTGTAGGGACATAGCTGCTTCGTATAGTTCTTCACTACTTAGTTTTTTATTTAAGTTTTGATTTTCTTCATTATTTAATTTTTTTTTTATGTTGCTTAGTAGATCTTGTTGTTTTACTATATTTAGATCGGTTCTGGCGTAGAGCTTCTGATAGTATTTTTGGATTGTTCTCATAATGTTGTCTGTTTCATGGTGAGTTATGTTACCATCTCTTATAGTTTCTATAGTTTTTTTCTTGCTTCTTGTTTTTTCTAGATTAAACAGGAATTTTGATGGATTTTCTCCTGTTTCTACTAAAGTTTGTTTTGTCCTGATGAAAATTCCAAAGTCATTTTTTTGTAATTTTAGTTCCTTTTTTAAGTTTTTGATTGTTTCCTTATTATAAAGAATATTTTTTTTTTCAATTGATATTTTCTTTTCCAGCTCTTTTATATATAATATTCTTTGGTGTTTGATATCTGTTGATCGTTCAGTGGCACAGTTTTAATTTCGAGTTTAGTTATGTCCCACCATTGGTTGGGGTTTTCAAATTGAGCTTTTGTTTGTTTGCTATATTCAAATCTGTCAATTAAGTTTTTTTCAAAAGTTTCATCACTTAATAAGGATACATTTAGATGCCAGTAGCCTGGCCCTCTTTTGTTTGAATGAAGGTTTTTGGTCTTATATTTGCAATAAAGGGCTTTATGATCACTTAGTTTATGATCTATAATTTTGCATGTACTAATGTTTGCTTGACTGGTTGGTGCATATATTCGGTCTATTCTACTACGGTACGATCCATCAGGTTTTTCATAGGTGAAGCTTTTTTTTTGTGGATTTAATTTTCGGTATATGTCTGTTATATCTAGAGTGTCGCATAATCTTTTTAGTTGTTTTTTTCCTAGCATGTTATTTTTATTTAGTTGGTCGCCTCCTTCTCTATCAAGTATTGGGTCTTCCACCATATTAAAATCCCCTAGTATTATTAGGTCGTAGCATGGCCTAATATGCTTCTCAAGTTTTTCAAAGAAGTATTCTTTTTCCATTGGATTGTTAGGGCCGTAGACATTAATTATTCTTAGGGTACATTTTTCTATAGTAATATTAGCTGCTAGTAATCTTCCACTTTTATTAAAAGTTATTTGATCTATTTGAATTCTGTCTTTGATAATGATCGCAACTCCTCTCTCTTTGTTATTTCCATTGTTCCAAATGGAGAAGCCTTGTGTTTTTTTACTCCATTCTTCTTTCCATTGTGCGTCTTTTTCATTACTGCAGTGTGTTTCCTGTATGCAAACAATGTCGCAACAGGTATTTTTTAGGTACATCATTATGTTGTGCCTTTTAATGTCATCATTTAGGCCGTTGACGTTTAGGGTTAACATTTTAATTGCCATTTTTACAAAAACAAAAATTTTCTTTTAGTATTTGTTTTATTGTGATTTTTATTTTTGTTTGGTTTTGATTGGAATTTTTATTTTTATTTAGTTTTATGATTTTTTATTTTTATTTACTTTTGTGATTTTTTATTTTTATTTAGTTTTATGACTTTTTATTTTTATTTAGTTTTATGATTTTTTATTTTTGTTTAGTTTTAGTTTTATATTTCGATATGGTTAAGTATATTATTGTTATTTACTTGATACTGGGTATCGAGATTATTTTCATTATTTTGGTTCGTTTCGGGACATTTTCCATCATATATAATCCCGAAGTCTTTATTGGATCTTTTATAGGTTTGGATTTTTATGTCTTGCGGTGTTGTTTTTCTTTTAAGTCCCTTCTCTTCTAATTAACTTCTACTAAATAACTACTTCTTCTAAATAACTTCTAAATAAATTCTACCCTACCAAAGAGTTTGCAGCCGTTCTACTGCGAGTCGATATTAATAGTTTACATAAATTCGCGCAAAATGTCTTACTAGCAAATTTTTGCTTGTGGTTGTATATTTTTGTCGGTTTAAATTTTTTTTTGTTTTTTTAATTTTTAAAATCATTATTATTTAGATGTTTGTAATAGTTTCCGTTTAAAATCATTTTTTCATCATTTACTTTTTTATTTAATAAAAATAGATTTTTTTATTATAATTTTTTTTTTAACAAAATAAAATTTACATTTCCTTTTTTTTTTGTCATTAAAATCAAATTATTTTTTGACCGATTAGTAGACATCGATTCTCTCGATAAGTCCTGCCCTCT